TCTCTCTGTCTGCCAAGCCCCCGGGCCCCAAAAAAAAAAAAAAAAAAAAAAAAAAAACCTCTCCCCCTCCCAAACAAAAAAATCAGAATATTGGCATGCACACACATGCGCCTGGCATGATTTTCAAGCCGCTGGGTCCAGGACTTGAACCACAGTCAGCCATGTGGGAATCCGGCCTCCTTCACCACCACCCCAGAGGACACGAACACTCACCAGGGATAGACATAGAGATGACGAGGGAGAGGAAGAAAGCGCCCCCAGGGGGCCACGGTCACTCTGCCATCCCTCCTTCTCATTTCTCCATTCTGTCCGATTTTAGGTAAGCACATGTACATGCCCCGTGTGTTTTACAAGCTGCCAGGTCGGGGACTCGAACCGTGCACTCGGCGATGCGGACTCCAGCTACCTTAACCGCTGGGCTATGGCCGGGCAGCACACTCACCATATTATACCAGGCACTGATGAGCAGTTTTTCCTCCTGTTCCCTCTGACTTCGACTCTTCTCAAAGTCCATCTGCAAACAGACAAGAGTCAGGGGCCTGCATAGGCCAGGGACAGTGAGAAGGGACAGGGGACACCCACCTCCAGGTGACGGATACGGACGTCTCGCTCCCGGAGCTGTGTCCTCAAGGCACTGAGTTCCAGGGGCACCCCTGCAGGTGGCTGCTGCGTGGGTTCCCGGGTCTGTATGACCTGGAGGGTGACAAAGACAGCCAGGTGATCTTGGCCTTGACACACTCCCCCACCCTTTAAAGATTCTTTTTCCTAGGACCAGCAGTTGGCGTAATGGCTGTGTCGCTGGACTCTCATGTAGTCAAACATGGTTCGACTCCCGGACCCGGTGGCTTAAACTCACGCCGGGCACGTGTGCGTGCGTGCGTCCCCAAGATAGCCATTACACCAACTGCTGATCCCCCAGCATGAGTTTGCAGCCACTGAGTCTGGGACTGCAATGCAGTCCACTACGTGGAAGTCCAATGACGTAACCATTACACCTTCTGCTGGTCCCCGGTTGGGACTGAACGCCCTGCATGCACAGGAGCCAGGCCTGTTCTTCAAGTCTCCAGGCCTGGGACTCGAACGGCAGAGCCAGCCATGTGGGATCCAGCCGCCTTGACTACCACGCCACCTGCTGGCTCCTTTTGATCCGCTGGAGTGCACTGAAAGTGACACACCCCTTGGCAGTGGGGACGCATGAGACATGGCGGCGTAGGTATGACAGCCGCGAGTGAGGGACAGACATGCGCAACGCGAAGGAGGAGGCGTGAATGAACGAGTTAGAGGCTGCGCGTCCTCACCGTGCGCGCCTTGTCCACATAGCGGCGGTACCGCTCCTCCATGGCCCGCAAGTCCGCGTCCTTCTTTTGCAGGCTGTGCTGCAGCTCCTCGATCCTCCGGGCTGCTGGGGAAACCAGGTGTCCCCTCAGCACCGGGCAGAGCTCTGGGGGTCCCCTCGCCCCACCTGCCGGACCCCAAGGTCCGCTTACTGCTGCTGTCGGCGGGCGGCTCCAGTTCCTCAATGTACTCGCGCTTCCGCTGCAGCTCCAGGTCGGCCTCGTGCAGCTTCTGCCTGCGGGCAGGGGCGCGCAGCGGGCGTGAGCCCGGCTTCCTGTTCTCCTCCTGCCAGCCAGAGCGCCCCTCCGCCCTGCAGGGGCCTGTCTGCTCGCAGCGCTCCCCCACCTGGGGCTATCTGCCCTGGTCCTCCCACATCCTGAGCCAACAGAGCCACAACCGTCCACACCCCAAGACACATAGCCCTGGCACCAGCCTCATTCTGTCCACTTCCGCCATCCTTCAGCCTCTAAGCCAACACTCCTCAGCCGGTTTCTCCCTGTTCTAGGGATCTGGATCCCACATAGGGGACCAAGGTTTGTGGCCTCATGGGGACAGAAGGTGCTGTGGGGGCTAAAGGTTCTGGACTCCCACATGGCTGACCGTGGTTTGAGAACCGGACCTCATGGCTTGCTCTG